GGTGAAACCCCGTCTCTACTAAAAATACAAAAAAAATTAGCTGGGTGTGGTGGCGTGCACCTGTAGTCCCAGCTACTTGGGAGGCTGAGGCAGGAGAATCTCTTAAACCCTGGAGGCAGAGGTTGAGCTGAGATCACACCATTGCACTCCAGTCTGGGCAACAAGAGCGAAATTCCATCTCGAAAAAGAAGGAAAAAGAAAAAGAAAAACCTCCCAAACGGACTTCTAGATGAGGAGAATGAGGAGGACAGAGACAGGAACCCCCACTGCATTACAATACAGGAGGAGGTTGTGAGGTTGTAGAGGGAGAATAAATTAAAAACATGCTCAAGATTAGAAGAAGCTGGTCTGACGGTCGTGAGTTATCAGAACTTATTAACATCAGTGTCATGTCAAAGAAAAGAGTCAAATTCTGTAAACTATTTGAAGAGATTTATTCTGAGCCAAATATGAGTGACCAATGGCCCGTGACACAACTCTCAGGAGATCCTGAGAACACGTGTCCAAGGAGGATGGGCTACAATTTGGCTTTATACATTTTTTTAAAAATAATTCAGTCTCCATAGAGACTGTCAAAAATTGCCAATGCTGACTATATTTCAAGTCGTCATGGCGGGGTATTGGGAAAAGTTTTCAATTAGCAATAATCGCACCTTGGATAAACTTCATTGGCTATGATACTGCCACTGCGCGAAGCTACATTTTTTTTTCTTTTTTGAGACAGAGTCTCACTCTGTCACCCAGGATGGAGTACAGTGGCACGATCTTGGCTCACTGCAACCTCCACCTTCCAGGTTCAAGTGATTCTCCTGCCTCAGCCTCCCAAGTAGCTGGAATTACAGGTGCCCACCACAATGCCGAACTAATTTTTTGTATTTTTAGTATAGTCGGGGGTTTCACCATTTTAGCCAGGTTGGTCTCGAACTCATGACCTCAGGTGATCCACTCACCTCAGCCTCCCAAAGTGCTGGGATTGCAGGCATGAGCCACCACACCCAACCAGCTTTATACATTTTAAGACAATATAAGACATCAATCAATATATGTAAGATGTACATTGTTCAGTCTAGAAAGGCGGGACAACTGGAAGTGAGGAAGTGGGCAAAGAAATTAGGGTTAGGGTTCCAGTTCATAGGTAGATTCAAAGATTTTTTTAATTGACAATTGCTTGAAAGAGTTATTATATAAAGACTTGGAATAAATAGAAAGGAATGTCTGGGTTGCAGTAAGGAGTTGTAGAGACTCTGAGTTACTGGAGCTGTAAGCACTTGGGAAGTCAAGACTGGCTCCTCTCTTTGCTCTGTCAGATGTCCAGACGGTCATAGAAGTGCTGTGCAGCCAACCAAGGTGACAAGCATGAACCAGCCTCGGCCTGAAGTTACTCACTCCCCAGAAGAAGGGCTTTTCACTTCCAGATCTTGTGGCTATTTCTTTTTTTGTTTTGTTTTGTTTTGTTTTGTTTGTTTGCTTGAGACAGAGTCTTGCTCTGTTGCCAGGCTGGAGTACAGTGGCGTGATCTCGGCTCATTGCAACCTCTGCCTCCTGGGTTCAAGCGATTCCCCTGCCTCAGCCTCCTCAGTAGCTGGGATTACAGGTGCCTGCCACCACACTGGGCTAATTTTTGTATTTTTTAGTAGAGACGGGGTTTCACCATGTTGGCCAGGCTGGTCTTGAACTCCTGACATCATGATCCACCAGCCTTGGCCTCCCCAAGCGCTGGAATTTCAGATGTGAGCCGCTGCACCCGGCCTCTTGTGGCCATTTTTACAGATCTGCTCCTGACAATAGGCAATGTACCAAAAATACTGAGAGTGACAGAGTTGAAGAGAAGTACCTAAACAAAGATGGCCTGGCACAATGGCTCACACCTGTAATCCCAGAACCGTAGGAGGCTGAGGCAGGAGAATCACTTGAGCCCAGGAGTTTGAGACCATGCTGGCCAACATGGTGAAACCCTGTCTCTACAAAAAATACAAAAATTAGCTGGATGTGGTGGCATGAGCCTGTACTCCCAGCTACTCAGGAGGCTGAGGTGGGAAGATCACCTGAGCCTGGGGAGGCAGAGGCTGTAGTGAGCTCTGATCACTGCACTCAAGCCTGGGTGACAGAGAGAGACCCTGTCTACAAAAGAAACAAACAAACAAAGAACCCTAAAGAAAGAGTCTGCAGATGCCCAAGCCCTGGTTTCTTTTTTTTTTTTTGAAACAGAGTTTTGTTCTTGTTGCCCAGGCTGGAGTGCAATGGTGCGCTTGGCTCACCACAACCTCCACCTCCCACATTTAAGCAATTCTCTTGCCTCAGCCTCCTGAGTAGCTGAAATTACAGGCATGTGCCACCATGCCCGGCTATTTTTGTATTTTTAGTAGAGACGGGGTTTCTTCATGTTGGTCAGGCTGATCTTGAACTCCCGACTTCAGGTGATCCACCAGCCTCAGCCTCTCAAAGTGCTGGGATTACAGGCGTGAGCCACTGTGCCTGGCTTCTGCTATTTTCATTCTAACCAATATGGTGCCCAGAGATCCAAGTGGCAGACAGATGGCAAGGCTCCAGAATAGCACAGATCTGGAGGGAGAGGGAGGGCTGCCTCCTGACGAAGGAGGGCCACCGGTCAAACTCTCTCCTCCACGTTAATTCTTGTAGTCACTCCTGACTCCAGCAGGACGCTAAGAAGTATCCCCAAAGGGAATCACCCCCGATATTGCCCAGTAAGTAATTTAGAAGCAAAAATGAAGGAAACTCAGGGGAAGGTCAAGCAAGTCCACTAGAGGGAGCCCAACCAACTCTATGAAGCAGGGATCCTCACAAAGCGGTGTCAACACGTCTGCAAATCAACCACACAAAGGAATGAAGAAGTGTGGCAATACATTAAGTCACTAGGAGAGAAGACATCCACGGAAACACCCAGCGAAAACCCAGGCTTTGCAAGAGCTACGAAATCAAACATTTAAAGATCAGGAAACTGAGGCTGAGCAAAGTCAAATGGCTTGCCTCCGTTTACATATCCACAGTTGGGACTCAAACTCACATCTCTTGTCTCTAACCTGAGCACTTTCCTCCACACTTGCATGCCTCTAGGTCAGTCCCTAGAGTCCATGGGTCCACCATTCCTCTGCATCTCATTTCTCTGAAGTGGGAAACTCCCTCGACTACCTCTTCCTGCACTTATTTCCCTAATTCTGCAGTGTACTGAAGAGCATCTTCAGTGGTTTGGGGGTTTTGTTTGTTTGAGACAGGGTCTCCCTCTATCATCCAGGCTGGAGTTCAGAGATGCAATCATGGCTTACTGCTGCCTCAACCTCCCAGGCTCAAGCAATTCTCCTGCCGCAGCCTCACAAGTAGCTGAGATTACAGGTGTGTGCCACCACGCCAGGCTGAGTTGATTTGTTTTGTTTTGTTTTGTTTAAGACGAAGTTTCACTATTGTTGCCCAGGCTGGAGTGCAATGGCACGATCTCAGCTCATTGAAACCTCTGCCTCCTAGGTTCAAGCGATTCTCCTGCCTAAGCCTCCTGAGTAGCTGGAATTACAGGCATGTACCACCACGCCCAGCTAATTTTGTATTTTTAGTAGAGACTGGGTTTCTCTATGTTGGTCAGCCTGGTCTCCAACTCCCAACTTCAGGTGATCCTCCTGCCTCGGCCTCCCAAAGTGCTGGGATTACAGGCCTGAGCCACTGCGCCCAACCTAAGTTTTTAATTTTTTGTAGAATTGAGGTCTGACTGTGTTGCCCAGGCTGGACTCGGACTCCTGGCCTCAAGCAATCCTGCCTCAGCTTCTCAAAATGCTGGGATTACAGGCATGAGCCACCATCCCCAGCTTAGATCTTCAGTTTTAAGCCTACTAATGTTATTTTGCTGATGGAATCTGGGGATGTAAATTGTCCAACCTGGGAACTGTCAGTCTTTTTCCTCTGTATCAGCACAACACATTATCTCAGATGTGTACACCTGAATTTGTAAGTCTCCAAATTGCAGGCCATGTCTACATGGCAATGAATCATAACGGATTGGCTTCTAAAGCCCATTCTCTTCAAACTACACTTAGCATTTTGGGTTAAGGAAAGAACTGACCCTTTGAGACCTTGACATTTTAAGTCTTGTGAGCTGATTTAGCCCATTCCACCTTCCTAGGAACTCCATGTTTCCCAGTTGCCTGGACAACATACAACCTCCTGAAACCCAGCCTTTCAGTCCTCAGTCCTACCCTGAAGAGAAATTTGCCTCCAAGGATTGGTTCCCAGGTCCCAGGCTCCACCTCAGGCTCCTCGCTAGTTGGGCCTTCTCTCTGCCACTCCCCACACATGAGTCACTCCCCACGAGTGGGTCACTTCACAAGGAGCCCCAGCAGAGGCCAGAGAGCATCCCACAGGTAGGAAGAGAGGGGTGAGGATAATGGGAAGAGGGAGGGGAGCAGGTACAGAGATTTGGTTTCTCTAAAAGACGGTTGAGAGGATTGACTTCTGAACAGAGAGTCAGCCTGGTTAAGAGAAAAAACTCGGCGGGGCGCGGTGGCTCAAGCCTGTAATCCCAGCACTTTGGGAGGCCGAGGCGGGTGGATCACGAGCTCAAGAGATCGAGACCATCCTGGTCAACATGGTGAAACTCCGTCTCTACTAAAAATACAAAAAATTAGCTGGGCATGGTGGCACGTGCCTGTAATCCCAGCTACTCAGGAGGCTGAGGCAGGAGAATTGCTTGAACCCAGGAGGCGGAGGTTGCGGTGAGCCGAGATCACGCCATTGCACTCCAGCCTGGGTAACAAGAGCGAAACTCCGTCTCAAAAAAAAAAAAGAGAAAAAACTCCATCCTTCCCACTGACCCCAACCCTGCCTGAGGTTTCAAAGAGACCAGGAACTGACTTTTCTAGAGAGGATGAGAGACAAATTTGGAGTAGAACCAGGCGACTCTCCTGAGACTCTTCATTAAGTATAGGGGTCAGGAGAGCATCCCTGTGTCCAGACCTAAACATAAGATCTCCTCCTTCTCCCAGGACAGCAAGGAGATGCCACCTGAAAACAAAAAAAAAGGGAGGAAAGCTGGGGGGCAGAAGAAGCAAAAGAACAGGGGTGAGTCATGGTGGGAGGAGGTGTCCCCTGCTTCTCTTTGTTCTGGCACGAAGACCACCCAGAGGTCCTCCAGAAAGAATTCAGCCTTCTGCATGATAGGATGGAGCTCTCTTGAGCTTCCTCTTCAGGTCCTCGAAGCCAGATTCAAGGAGCTGAGGAAGCGGGGCAATGGTCACCCACACTGTCCTTTGAGCCCCATCTAGCTCTGTGCCTTCCTGATATATTTGCATATCTGTTATGTGCTGGTCGGTGAGGACATGGTGCTGACTTCAGTAGACTGTGCCATCATGGATCTCTCATGTAGCGGTCCTCAGGTCTCCTGCGGGAAAAGTGCTGGGTGTGGGGTGAGGATGAAAGGAGAGTGAGGAGTGCTGAGATCATGAGCAGCTGAGGCTCTGCCACTTGCCATGGCAGGTGCAGATGTGGAGGGCCGAGTCCAGGCACAGGCTGGCAGTGCCGGAGAAGGAGCTGCTCTGAGACCACTTGAGTAAGGAGGGTAGAAGCTGGCATGGGAGTGGGCAACAGGGGCAGTGCAATGGGCCATTTCTGTACCCTGGGGGATTAGAGGCATAGTGGGGGGGCTAAGCCAAACCCTAACCATCTCATGGAAAAAGACCATGAGAGCAGGGTGGGAAGTGGATGAAGGAAGCTTTTTTTTTTTTTTGGAGATAGGATCTTGCTCAATTGCCCAGGCTGGAGTGCAGCAGTGTGATCATGGTTCACTCTAACTTCAAACTCCTGGGCCCCAACAATCTTCCCGCCTCAGCCTCCTGAGTAGCTGGTATTACAGGTGCACATCACCATGCCCAGCTACTTTACTTCTTTCTTTTTCTTTTTTTCTGAGACAGAGTCTTGCTCTGTCGCCCAGGCTGGAGGGCAGTAGCACGATCTCGGCTCACTGCAAACTCGCCTCCTGTGCTCAAGCAGTTCTCCTACCTCAGCCTCCCGAGCAGCTGGGATTATAGGCATGAGCCACCACACCTGGCTAATTTTTGTAGTTTTAGTAGAGACAGGGTTTCACCATGTTGGCCGGGGTGGTCTCAAACTCTTGACCACATGATCTGCCTGCCTAGACCTCCCAAAGCGCTGGGATTACAGGCGTGAGCTACCATGCCTGGACCTATTTATTTTTCTTATAGAGACAAAGTGTAACTCTGTTGCCCAGGCAGGTCTCAAACTCCTGGCCTCAAGCAATTCTCCCACCTAAGCCTCCCAAAGTATTGGGATTAATGGCATGAGCCACCATGTAGGGCTATCTGGAAAGCTATTTTTTAGAGCCAGAACATGGAGGGAGTTTTTGTGTCTTAATAATGAAGAGCCTGTGAGAGTCTAGGGATAAAAAACAAAAACAACAGGCCGGGCACGGTGGCTCAAGCCTGTAATCCCAGCACTTTGGGAGGCCGAGGCGGGTGGATCACGAGGTCAACAGATCGAGACCATCCTGGTCAACATGGTGAAACCCCATCTCTACTAAAAATACAAAAAATTAGCTGGGCATGGTGGCACGTGCCTGTAATCCCAGCTACTCGGGAGGCTGAGGCAGGAGAATTGCCTGAACCCAGGAGGCAGAGGTTGCGGTGAGCCGAGATCGCGCCATTGCACTCCAGCCTGGGTAACAAGAGCGAAACTCCGTCTCAAAAAAAAAAAAAAAAAAAAAAAAAAAAAAAAACAGCAAAACCTAGAGAGAGAATAAGAAGCTGGACGCCCCACCCCCAGATTTCCAGAGGTGGGCAAAGTCCATCCTGGGAAATTGGAGGCCATGGGGGCCGATTTAGTGGGCCCCTGACAGTCCTGACAGCAGCTCTGGGACTGCTCACAGCTCAACGGAGGGATGAAGCCCGTCAAGCCAAGGCTTCCGAAGACCAGCTGAGGCAGAGGCTGCAAGGGGTAGAGGCTGAGCTGGAGGGGGCCCGGAGTGAAGGGAAGGCCATATATGCAGGTATGTGGTCCGTTGAGCAGGTGGACATGAGACGGGCTTGGAGGAGGAAAACCAACAGGGCCAGATGATGCGAGGAGGGAAACAAGGAGGGCTTCCGACTGCCAGGCCTGGTCTTGGTCTTCCCTGAACAGGACAAATCAGGCAGGATCCTGTAGGAACCAAAGGCAGGTGTCTGGGATCCCAGGCAGGGGCCTTCGAGCATGCCTGGTGCCTCTTGCCTGATGCTGTGTAGGATACACGTGCAGTCATAGCCATCGGCTCACTCATCCCAGGGGAGGGGAGAAGGGGTAGCACCCCCAGACGAAGCTAGACTTGGGGAGGTGGGTCTGGCTTTCTGTTCTTTCCCCAGGTTTTCATGGTCTCCAGCTTCTCAGAATCACAAAAAGAAGCAAGAAGGCCTTGGTGCTCCTGTTCCACTAGACCAAGGAGAGTCTTGCCCACCCACAACTTCATTTCCTTTCTCTATCCCTCCATCTCCAACCTGGGTCCCTGGGGGCCCACTGCCCCCACCCTAGAGATGAGTCGCCAGTACCAGGCCCTGCAGAAGGAGGTGGAGAGCCACAGCAAGCAGAGAGAGGAAGAAGTCAGGGACTTTCGGAGGCAGCTGGGTAGGTTTCCCCACCCTCCAAGCCCCTTCTCTCCAAGGGTTGCAACAAGGGCCAGCATGAAGGGGTGGACTTCAAAGTCTCTGCTCTAGAAAGCTGCCATCTGGGCTCTGGGATCACTTTCCCCACTATCACTGACCGTCCACCACTGAGGACTGGAGCAGAGGGTTCATGATGCCAAGAATCTCTGTTGCAAAGAAGAGGTAGGCCTTGCACCCCATTTCCCTCTCCACTTGGTCTCTCCAAGTCCAGCCCTAACTCCCCACCACTGCCATGTCTCTTCTGAGCAAAACATACTCACTCTTGGTTTAGCTGATTTCTACAATGAAACTAAGGGAAAATGTTTGACTTATTTACTTCTCTGTCTTCAAGAACTAGCACCTGGTAGGTCCTAAATAACTGTTCACCAAATAAATGAATAAACACTCCTAATAAGCACAAATATTTTTAAAAACCAGGAAGTCGGCCACGCACAGTGGCTCTTGCTTGTAATCTCAGCACTTTGGGAGGCCAAGGTGGGCAGATCACAAGGTCAGGAGTTCGAGACCAGCCTGACCAACATGGTGACCCATCCACTCTACTAAAAAAAAAAAAAAAATGAGTCAGTCCTGGTGGCACACACCTGTAATCCCAGCTACTCAGGAGGCTGAGGCAGGAGAATTGCTTGAACCCAGGAGGCAGAAGATTGCAGTGAACCAAGATCGTGCCACTGCACTTCAGCCTGGGAGACAGAGCAAGACTCTGTCTGAAAAAAAAAAAAAAAAAAAAAAAAAAAAAAAAAAAAAAAAAAAAAGCCATGCCGGGCGCAGTGGCACATGCCTGTAGTCCCAGCTACTGGGGAGGCTGAGGTGGGAGGATCACTTGAGCCCAGGAGTTCTGGACTGTAGTGCGCTACGCCGATCGGTGTTCGCACTAAGTTCGGCATCAGTATGGTGACCTCCCGGGAGCGGCGGACCACCAGGTTGCCTAAGGAGGGGTGAACCGGCCCAGGTCAGAAATGGAGCAGGTCAAAACTCCCGTGCTGATCAGTAGTGGGATCGCGCCTGTGAATAGCCACTGCAGTCCAGCCTGGGCAACATAGACAGACCCCGCCTCTATAAATAAATAAATAAATAAATAAATAAAATGGGGGGGAAAAAAAAAAAAACAGGAAGCCAACCAGGCACAGTGGCTCGTAACTGTAATCCCAGCACTTTGGGAAATCAAGGCTAGCAAATCACCTGAGATCGGGAGTTCAAGACCAGACTGACCAACATAGAGAAACCCTGTCTCTACTAAAAATACAAAATTAGCCGAGTTTGGTGGTATGCCTGCAATCCCAGCTACTCGGGAGGCTTAGGCAGGAGAATTGCTTGAACCTGGGAGCCAGAAGGTTGCAGTGAGCCAAGATCATGCCGTTACATTCCAGCCTGGGCAACGAGAGTGAAACTCCATCTCAAAAAAAAGAGAAAGTAAACCAGGAAGACGGCCGGGCATGGTGGCTCACACCTGGAATCCAAGCACTTTGGAGGCCAAGGCAGGCAGATCACCTGAGGTCGGGAGTTTAAGACTAGCCTGACCAACATGGTGAAACCCTGTCTTTATAAAAAAAAATAATAAAAAAAAAAAGAAAGAAAGAAAACCAGGAAGAATTTGCTTCTCTTCTTTTGGCCCTTACTTAACTAAACAATGTTGAAATATCTCAGCATGACACATGAGATCTTTCACAATTTTGGTCTCAAAGTTTTCATACCTTAAAAATGCCTCCAGCCGGGTACGGTGGCGCACCCCTCTAATCCCAGCACTTTGGGAGGCCAAGGCAAGGGGATTCCTTGAGGCCAGGAGTTCAAGACCAGCCTGGCCAATATGGCAAAAATACCATCTCTACTAAAATTACAAAAATTAGCTGGGCATGGTGGCATGGGCCTGTTATCCCAGCTACTCAGGAGGCTGAGTCAGGAGAATCACATGAGTCCAGGAGGTGGAGGCTGCAGTGAGCCAAGATTGCACCATTGCACTCCAGCCTGAGCAACAGAGTAGGACTCTGACAAAAAACAAACAAACAAACAAACAAACAAAAAAACGGTTTCAGTTTAGCTATAGATGGCCAGGAGCTGCTTATCTGCCATTCAGACCCTGTGTTCCTTTTCTAATCTTTGCCTTACCTCAAATTCCAAGTCAATCAATGACTCAATGTTTTGTTTTGTTTTTTTTTGAGACAGAGTTTTGCTATTGTTGTCCAGGCTATAGCGCAAGCCATCTCGGCTCACGGCAACCTCCGCCTCTGCCTTCTGGGTTCAAGTGATTCTTCTGTCTCAGCCTCCCGAGTAGCTGGGATTACAGGTGCATGCCACCACACCCAGATAATTTTTGTATTTTTAGTAGAGACAGGGTTTCATCATATTGGTCAGGCTGGTCTCAAACTCCTGGCCTCAGGTGATCCACCCATCTTGACCTCCTAAAGTGCTGGGATTACAGACAGGCGTGAGCCACTACGCTCGGTTTTGTTTTTTGAGATGGAGTCTCGTATCTGTCGCCCAGGTTGGAGTGCAGTGGCGCAATCTCAGCTCACCGCAACCTCTGCCTTCTGGGTTCAAGTGATTCTCCTGTCTCAGCCTCCCAAGTAGCTGGGATTACAGGCATGCACCACCATGCCCGGCTAATTTTTGTAGTTTTAGTAGAGACAGGGTTTCACCATGTTGGTCAGGCTGTTTTCAAACCCTGAGCTCAGGTGATCTGCCCACCTCAGCCTCCCACAGTGCTGGGATTACAGGCATGAGTCACCGTGCCCGGCCAATGAATCAATGTTTATTGAGCACCTCCTGTATACTAGCTAGGTGCTTTGTCATCTATTATCACATTTAAAGGTCACAGCATGCCCCTGAAGGATGTGCCATTCTCTCTTTAACGATGAAAACACCAGCCTGGCACAGTGGCTCATGCCTGTAATCCCAGCACTTTGGAAGGCCGAGGTGGGCAGATAATGAAGTCAACAGACTGAGACCATCTTGGTAAACATGGTGAAACCCCGTCTCTACTAAAAATACAAAAAATTAGCCAGACATGGTGGTGCTCACCTGTAGGCCCAGCTACTTGGGAGGCTGAAGCATGAGAATCCCTTGAACCTGTGAGACAGAGGTTGCAGTGAGCTGAGATCATGCCACTGCACTCTAGCCTGCTGACAGAGCGAGACTCTGTCTCAAAAAAAAAAAAAAGAAAATAGATGAAGACACCGGAGGCTCAGAGAGAGACACACCTGAAGTCACCTAGGTAGTAACAACCAACTTCAGAGCCTTCTGTCTCAAGCCCGCCACTCTCTGCCATACCTCAGTGGAGCTGCAGTTTTCATAGGGACTGTGGGAAGGTTGGTGATCCTGAGGGAGTCTGGAATGAGCCCACTTGAGGTGCCCTTTGCAGATACCTTTGAAGACTGGTCAAGGGTAGAGTGTCACCATCCTGCCCTCTTTCATCCTGGCTGCCCCTAGAGGCATGCCAAAGGGAGGCTGCGGCTGCCCGAGAAGAGGCTGAGCAAGCCCTAGGAGAGCCGGACCAGGCCCTGGCTCAGCTTCAGGCCCATGTGGCAGACACGGAAGCCAAGTATGAGGAAATCTTACACATGAGCACCACCGCCTGCCCAGCCACCCAGTACCCAGGACTCCCCCATGCCCACAAATCCCAGCTAGCATGATGACTGACAACCCAGGGGTAAGGAGAAGAAGCATCTCCAAGGGAACCCTGCTCTATCCTGAGGGCAGAAGGAGGGGATACAACCATGTCTACTGGACAAGGAAAGTTTACAAACCAACCTGGGGCAGCCCTTCCCCCTTCCCTCGGTCTTCCTGGGGGCTGAAATCTTGGTGTCTGCAGGACAGCCTGGACAGGCTCTTGGCCAAGCTGAGAGCCATCAAGCCACAGTGGGATGGAGCTGCACTAAGACTCCACGCCAGGCTCAAGGAACAGCTATGCCAGTTCGGACTCACCCCCTGGATCTTTGAGGCCTCCAGCCTCTAGTCTCTCAGGCTCTCTGAGGCCCCGGCAATAAAGCGTCTTGATGCAGAACTCAACAGAGCTGTGGGCGGTAGCCTTTTGGCAGAGAGGAATGGATCTTTTTTATTATTTTTTTTATTTATTTTTCTTCTTTTTTTTTTTATTTTTAGGAGTAGCTCTTCTGGGGACATCTCAGTTCTGGGTTGATCCATTAATCTGAGACTGAGTGATAGGAAAGAAATTTGGTCAGGTCTCAGCCTCTCTCCTGCAAAAGCCAGGTCCCACCCCTTGAGCCTGAGGCCCTTTGGGTCCCTTCAGACCACTGCCCCTTACCCCCAGCAACACAAACACAGGCAGTCAGATTTATGGGGAATGGCCATTTCTCTAAGAAGCGCAGCAGTGCCCAGGCACCACCCTCCACAATGTTAAGGCGCCCACAGAGGGCAGGCATAGCTGGTCTCCAAATTCTTGCATTACACTCAAGGGTCATGGAGTCATATCTAGAAAAGGTCCAGGTGGTTTCAGTCCTAGCCAACCCGACAGCCACACCTTCATCCTTGGGACACAGCTCTCCAAAGCTCCCAGATGACATCCTCTGGAGCCTCAGACTTTAGGGGCCTGCCTGAGGCCTTCTGCCATACTCTCTGCTGGGAGGTACGTCTGTGGGAAGGGAGGGAGTGGCTGGGCCAGCCTGTGATCGATGATGTCTGAGTCCCTCCGGTCTGGCTTAGAGAGAGCATCCTGCCTCCAACACCTCGGGCTTGAGAGTGGAGACAGGATAGCCCCTGATATGTCTGTACCAAGCAGTGATGCTCTATAGCAGGTCTGAGGCCAGAGCCCCGTCCTATGCAGAGAGAGGAGGCAGAAGGTCGTTTCAGGTGGAACCCCAAAGAGTTACTTTTTCTTGCCTCCTCCTGCGCTGGAATGCCCAGGAATGGGACTTATTTTTTTCTTTTATTTTCTTTCTTTCTTTCTTTCTTTTTCAAAGTGGGGTTTCACCATGATGGCCAGGCTGGTCTTGAACACCTGACATCAGGTGATCCACCCACCTCGCCTCCCAAAGTGCTAGGATTACAGGCGTGAGCCACAGCGCCCGTCCAGGAATGGGACTTATTTCATGCATTTTTCTGTCCCCACCTACCACGACCTTAAGTCCCACCCTGCAGACCCCACACTGCTTCACCTTGCAGCTCGCCCACTCTGTCCTTCTTTCTCACTCCTCCCTGCCCTTCTGTAGCTACTCACGGTCCGATCTGTTTCTTCTTCCTCACCTCTACAGCCACAAGAGGAATCCAGGCTTCCAAGCCCCATGGAGACCTGGCTGCCAGCTTCAGGCAGAGGGGTGGCTCAGCCTCAGGCAGCTGCTGAAGCCTCTCCAGGTCACTCTCTCCCCCAACAGAGTACCCGTTCACTTCCAGAATCACATCTCCCACTCGCAGCCCAGCCCGGGCAGCTGAGCCTCCTGGAGTCACCTGGTGGTGTGGGGGCATGCAGAACAGGGGAGACCAGGGGAAAGTTTGCTGGCTTAAGGCTCTGGAAGGGAAGCAGAGGAAACTGATCAGGCAGCAAAGGATCGAAAGGATCCAGGGTCCATGGAGCATCAGTCACCTGGGAGATGAAGAGACGAGGCCCATCGGCCACACAGCTGAGTCGGAAGCCATAGCCGCCACCAGGCCCAGGGTACAGAGAGCACTGGCGGGAGCCAAGAGGGACGGAAGGCACACCTGTGTCTTCAAGTGAAGGGTCCTCTGTCTCAACCAGAGGGGCTGAGCCACTGCCCTGGGGAAAGGTGGGAGCCTCTGTGTTCTCCAAGAAGAGGAGTGGGGATAGGCGAACCTGGAAGGTGGCAGGTAGAGCAAACCTGTTGGACCCGAGCCCTGCTCCTCTTCTGCCCCATCCCTAGCCCCTGCCCCCTCAGCACGCACCATGCTGAAGAAGCGGTCAGCATCGGGGTCGACGACAATGAGGGAGACACAGGAGCCCTGCGCCCGGATCCTGGACACTGTCTCCTCATGGCCCAGTCCCTCCACGCTCTCCCCAGCCACAGCCACCAGCCGGTCCCCAGCCTGCATCCCAGCCTTCTCAGCTGGCAGTCCTGGGTCTACATCCCACAGGAACTGTCCTGGAGCACAGACATCCTTACTGCTTCTCCCCAGTTATCCCAGGCCACTGTGCGCACACCAGGGGACTGACCCCAGGGTGAACAGGAAGAGGTGGCCCAGGGCCAGAGCCCAGACAGGGACACTCTTCTGTGCACTGAGAGATGTATATATCCACTTGTGTGCCCACCCCGAGGCCCACCTTCCCCCACCACCCCCAGGGCTCCCACTCACCAGGGCGACCATCAAGGCCCTTTTCCTCCCGGAGCAGGAACCCAAAACCCCGGGGCCCTTTCTGTAGGTGCAGACATCGGGGCTTGGTGGGCAGTGCCCAGCCCTCCGCCAGGGGTGCAGCCAGGGGCAATCCCAGCTGGCGACACTGTTCCTCCACCTCTGGCCCTGCCACCAGCAAGGTCACCTGCTGTCCACTCTGCCAAAGCTGTGGGGACCCAGCAGAGCATCAGTATAACACCTGGGCAGGGAGGGAAGAGGGAGGCTCCCCGAAAAGGCCCTCCTCCCAGGCACTAAGTGGGGCCTGGTACAAACTGTCGAGGGGAGGATGGTGATAAAGGTAAGAGATCAGATCAGGAGGCGTCTTCCTGAGGGGGGCCCAGGCCCAGATTGGGGGAGGGGAGGGGGAAGCTGCCACACCTTCCTGGTGAGTTGGTTGTGAGTGAACTTCTCCACACTGACCCCATTGACTTCGAGCAGCCGGGCCCCGGGGGGCACCCCTGCCCTCTCAGCTGCTCCTCCAGTACTTAACACCAACCAGAAAGGACCCTGATTGCCTAGAAGTCGAAAAATAAATTGAAAGCAAAGTTCAGTCTCTTGCCTGCCTGCCCTGAACAGGGGCTGAGATCCTCCATCCTTGCTGCCCCCCGCACCCTCTGGGCTCACCATGGGTGACACTAAAGCCAAAACCACCCTCATCTTTCACTATGTGGCACAGCCGGGGCCGGACCCCCGGGCCTAGGGTGGGACAGAGGTGGGCATCTTCTCCCAGCTGAGCTCGGGCCACATCATGCACATGCCGTGCCAAGACCGTCAGCAACACCCGAGGACTGCTGGCCCGGATGCGGCGTACCACCTGGAAGAGGGCACGTGGGCGTAGGTTTGGCCTCCACCCTCTTGCCAACCCCCAGGACCTCCCTGGGATTCATTTTTTTTTTTTTTTTTTTTTTTTTTTTGCCATGGGAATTGACTTTCTAGATGCCTTCCCCAACTCCTCTGACTTGGGCACTCCTAAATCCCGGAGTGTGGGGGAGTGAGGCTTGTGCCCTGCTGCCAGAGTGCCCAGATGCCTGAGCAACCCGCTTCTCTTTCTGAGGCACTCGCACACTCTCCCAGACCACAGCCTTACCACCGCATAGTCCTCATGTTCCACAGCGTTGTTGTTCACCCCCAGGATCCTGTCTCCCTCTTGGAGACCCTGGCGCTGGGCAGAGGTGCCTGGGTCCACCCTGCACACCACATGACCAGCCCTGCCCAGCTCCTGCCGTAGATGGAAGCCAAAACTCTTGCCCTCCTCTTTGCTCAGCAAACAGAAGCGAGGCCGCGCCAGGTTCCAGGGATCTGGAGGGTGAGGTGGGCAGCAGAAAAGGGGAAGGAGAGGGCACAGCCCAAGTACAGTTTTGCCATTTGGCTGGCGGACTCTGCGTCCTGATAGGGCACTGGGCAGCTTTTGCCCAGTTGAGTGTTGGGTGGTGGGGTCAACACTTTGTGGGCAGAGGGACTGGGACAGGAGAAAATGACTGGCCCCGCCTATCTCCACTACCAAGCAAGGCTGTTATCAGAGGGAGACAAGTGAGTGGTTACCAAGGAGATGGGAGGCGGAGTGGAGCTGTGGTGCCTCCAGGGAAAGGGAATGGTTGCCAGGGGGTGAAGGAGTTACCAGAGGGGTCGTGGTCTTCGGCCAGGGAGAGGACAGGATTATCAATTCCCAGCTTTGGGTTAAACTTAAACTTCCTACAAGGAGGCAGGGGAAGCAGGTACAAGCTGGCAGCTGGACTTGGGTCCCAGGGTCTCCTTTAGGTGCTAATAGTAGTGAAGTGCTTCCCACCTCCGATTCTTTCGGCCCCTTGCCCCAACCCTCATGGCACTTACAGAGTTAACGAGGCAGTGTCCTGCAGATCTACTGGGCAAAGAAGTGGGTGAGAGGAGAGTCATGTTCTTCTCCCCAGATGTGCCTCTTCCACTGGCATAAACTAAAAGGACTCAGGGGAACCCCCAAACTCAAGGTGTGCCCCCTCCATTCTGTTCCAAAGGGGTCTTCTCTTCTCACTGCCTTACACACAGGGATATTGTGCGGTCCCCTCCCTTCCCCTCCCCCCAAGTCCTTGGCATATAAATCTGAGCATATCAGTACAGGGTGTGGACCAGGAAGACAGACCTATCAACTCACTACTTTCCTCCTGACTTGTTTACCTGCCTCAGGGCTCCAAGCCCCAGAATCAAGTGTGCCTTGGTCCCAAAGCTTCAGCCTCCAAGTCAGCCCCCTACCTGTCCCAAAGTCCCCTGCAGAGGATTTCTCCTGGTCTCCTACCTGCAGCTCTCTCCATAGCTGGATCAGTGACCCAGTGCTCGGGGTAGGGACAAGGTTCATCACAGCCACTGACCCTCCCGCCCATCTCCTCCCAGTTCCCGCCTCCTTGAAGACTCTGTGGAAGCAGTGGGGTAATGGTTAACGGGAGTGACAGTCTTTTTTTTTTTTCTCCTCTGAGATGGAGTTTTGCTCTTGTTGCCCAGGCTGGAGTGCAATGGCGCGATCTTGGCTTACTGCAAACTCTACCTCTGGGTTCAAGCAGTTCTCCTGCCTCAGCCTCCTGAGTAACTGGGATTACAGGCACGCACCACCACGCCCGGCTAATTTTGTATTTTTAGTAGAGATGGGGTTTCTCCATGTTGGTCAGGCTGGTCTCAAATTCCCGACCTCAGGTGATCCGTCCACCTCAGCCTC